AATCCTTAGACCAATAGACCGTGCAGTATAACAGGGAGTGCTGACGTAGCAACTCTGTGTCGTAAAAAAAATAGTATAAAAAACAACGCGTCACGGGTTAAAATTTAGTCATAACCATGGATATCTACCAAGAAATACACAATTGTCAAACTTACAAAGAACTGGGTCTCATTCTCGAGACGTTTCAACTGATCAACACGGGTGCGGTAACAACGACGACCACCCGGACGATGGCGTTGACCCGTGGGCGGAATTTGAGAGGATGTTTGAGAGGACGAGGGGGCGGAAGAGCTACCGGAGGAGGAAGACGAAGATAACCAGCCGCCTAGGAACAGGATTCGCGTGGAGAGACTGCAAGATTATTACGATATTGTAGACGTTAATGAGAAGTTTGTAAAAAAGTATCAAGCCTCCACGTATGATTACAAAGTTCAGTTCAGGAACATGGACCATTTATCATTACGAGAGTTTTTACCACGCCTGGGTTCCATTTTCGAGATCATTTTGGAGAGGTTAACGGACGGTCTCCCCGCCGAAGACAGAGTAAGGTTGGTGTTTCAATCGGCTCACTTGAATTTTCCCATTGCTCTGCCATTTCTACGCGTCGACGAATTAACGGTCGAGAGATTTCTGGCTCGTATCGAGCAAGTGTTGCAGTCCTACCAATTTATTCGATTGGACGATAGGGTTGATATTCATTTCGTGCACATACGGATGCAAAAAGGGGGCAGGACCCAAACTCACGGTGTGGTGAAAATTCGAGATGTGTTACGCAATAAGAAGTCGATCATTCAGATTAAAGATGATGTGACGGAACTGTGTTGCGCCAGGGCGATCGTGACGGGGATAGCTACTATAGAAAACCATCCCAAAGTAAAACAGATCAAAATTTGCAAATTTCAGGACGTCTTACCCAAATACCGCCTTGTGGTGTTATCGTTCGATCATTGTAACGCCGCCATTTTCAAAGGGCCTGTCCGCCGACATACCATCTACCTGTTCTTTCACGACAATCATTACAATCTGATCACGTCCATGAAGGCATTTTTAAACAGGGGTTATTATTGCGACAAGTGTCAAGTGGGGTATAATGCCAAAGAAAAACACACGAGATGCGCAGATGACTGCAAAGTGTGTATGTCTGTCGGCTGCCCTTAGGGTGATAGACACTCGGGTGCACTGTTTGGAATGCAACCGCAATTTCAAAGACCAAAGGTTTTTCGATAATCACAAGAGTAAAATGATCCAGGACAAAACAGTCTGTCAAACGTATTATCGGTGCAAGCGCTGCAATGTGTTCGTGAATATCAATATGAACGGCAAGCGCGGAGAACACGACTGTACCCAAAGGTATTGTTCCATTTGCAAAGAAATGGGATCGATCGATCATCAGTGTTTTATCAAACCCGTGGAAAATAGTGACAACGACGATTCTCCCCCACACGCAAACGAGGGTAGCGCGGATAGGAGTACGGACCGTGACTGTAGGGCGGGTGGAAACAAAAAGGCCAAATGTAAGAAAGAAGTGGCCAAATACGTGTTCTTTGATTTTGAATGTACTCAAGATGACAGCGTTCACGAACCCAACTTGTGTGTTGCTTGCGTGGTTTGTGAGTTTTGTGCCGAAAGGTTGGAGAACGACCCGATGTATAAATCGTGTCAGCACTGTTCGCATTTGCGCGAGAAGATTTTCAGGAGTGATAAATGTAAGGAAGAGTTCTGCGATTGGCTGTTCAGTTCCAAAGATACGCTAAATTCAATCGCCTTGGCGCACAATCTGAAGGCGTACGACGGGTATTTTTTGCTCAGTTACTTGTACGATAATACTATCTTACCCGAGATCATATACACGGGGTATAAAATACAAGCCATCATGTTACCACAGTTTAAACGTAAAGTGATCGATTCCATGAATTTTCTGCCCATGGCGTTGGCCGAGTTGCCCCAAGCCTTCGGTCAGAAGGAATTGCACAAAGGATTTTTCCCTCACTTCTGGAATACGAAACAAAACCAAGATTACGCGGGCCCCTACCCCGATGCTAAATACTACGACCCGGAAGGTATGAGCTCGGATAAGAGACAGGAATTCTATAGTTGGTACGAGAAACAAAAGGGGAAACAGTTCGTACTGCAAGACAAATTATTGAAGTATTGTATCAGCGACGTCGATATGTTGAGTCGTTGTTGTCTACAGTTTCGCGCGTTGTTCAAGAGGGTCACTTCCACGGGGGAGGGCGTCCCGGTGTGGATCCCTTCAAGAGTTGCATCACCATCGCTTCCGCCTGTAATTTAGTGTACAGGAGGAATTTTCTACGCGCAGATACCACAGCCATCATCCCCCCTCATGGTTACGACAATGAAGAAAATCAATCCAAAGTCGCGCTGCAGTGGTTACACTACGTGCACTTCACCTCGGTTACTTATATTCAGCACGCGAGAAACAAAGGTTAAAACAGATTCGAAAATACAAGGTGGACGGATATGACACCAAAAATCAGATTATCTATTCCTTCAACGGCTGTTACTTTCACAGGTGCGTCAAGTGTTATCCCAATAGAAAGACGGTCAACAACACGCTCATGACCCTCATGGCCGAATTGTACACGCGCACTCAGGAGAGGAAATCATTTCTCCGAACCACCTGTAAACAGTTTGTCGAAATGTGGGAATGCGAATGGAAGGCCATGTTCAACACCTTACCCAAAGACATGAAACGCGCGCTGCAAGACGAAGCCATCACCGGACCCCGCGCCACGCTGAATCCTAGGGACGCGTTCTACGGGGGAGCGAACCAACGCCACCCGGTTATTTTATCAAACCTCTGGGGACGAAAAGATTCACTACGTGGACTTTTGTTCCCTGTACCTCTACACGAACAAGTACTGCTCCTACCCGCTCTATCACCCCGAGATTATAACGGATAACTTTAAAGACGTGTCCGACTATTACGGTCTCATCAAATGTAGCGTCCTACCTCCACCGACCCTGTATCATCCCCTACTGCCTTATCGATTGGGTGGGAAGTTGACATTTCCGCTCTGCCGCACATGCGTAGACACTCAACAACAGACCCCTTGCCAACACACAGACGATGAAAGAGCGCTGCACGGTACGTGGGTTTTCGTTGAACTGGAAAAGGCCATCAAATTGGGTTACAAGGTGGTAAAGATGGAGGTAGTGTGGCATTTCTCACACAGTGAACAATATAATACGGACACCAAGACCGGCGGATTATTTACCGAGTACATCAATATATTCTTGAAACTAAAAGTCGAAGCGTCGGGAAGGCCGGGTTGGGTCAAAACCGAAAGAGATAAGGCGGAATACATCGATCTGTATTTCCAACGGGAAGGGATTCGGTTAGATGCTTCCAAAATAGACCCAGGGCTTAGGGCACTGGCTAAGCTCATGTTCAATTCGTTCTGGGGAAAGTTCGGTCAGAGACTAAACATGCCTCAAGTCACGATCGTGAGCGATCCCTGTAAGTTGTACGAGATTCTGCTGGCCGATGATAAAGTGGTCCACGATATTAGTTTTATCAAGCATGTTCGGGGAAGCCTTTCATCAGGGACTTTGAAATGCCAATGTGCAGACAGGCGTTATACCGGCCTGGAGTAGGCTGAAGACTTCGTCTTCCTCCTCCGGTAGCTCTTCCGCCCCCTCGTCCTCTCAAACATCCTTCTCAAATTCCGCCCACGGGTCAACGCCATCGTCCGGGTGATCGTCGTTGTTACCGCACCCGTGTTGATCAGTTGAAACGTCTCGAGAATGAGACCCAGTTCTTTGTAAGTCTGACAATTGTGTATTTCTTGGTAGATATCCATGGTTATGACTAAATTTTAACCCGTGACGCGTTGTTTTTTATACTATTTTTTTTACAACACAGAGTTACTACGTCAGCACTCCCTGTTATACTGCAAGGTCTATTGGTCTCGGGATTAATGCCGGAGCCACCGCTTGGTACCTTTGTCACGATCGTGAGCGATCCCTGTAAGTTGTACGAGATTCTGCTGGCCGATGATAAAGTGGTCCACGATATTAATTTTATCAATCGCGAAATGGCAGAAGTGCGCTATGAATCCCGACAAGAGTTTATCGATCCTAATCCCAAAACAAACGTGGTCATTGCCGCCTTCACCACAGCGCACGCTCGTCTTAAACTGTACGGCGTGCTCGAACAATTGCAGGATTCGGTCTTGAACTACGATACCGACAGAGTCATACACGTGGATAGGCTGGGGCAGTACAAACCTCCTTTAGGCGATTTTCCGGGCGATCTCACCAACGAAATTAGTCCCCATGACGGCAGCTATATACAGACATTCGTGTCAGGCGGGCCCAAGAATTACGCGTATCGATTGGACACGGGTAAGACGTGATGTAAGGTCTGGGGATTCACCTTAAACTTCAGAAATGCGCAGCGGATCAATTTTGATTCCGTGGTTGACATGGTCAAAGGGGTCGGTCCTGAAAAGATCGTCATAGCAGATCCTCACAAGATCGTCAGAAATGGCAAGACAAAGGAAATCTTGACCAAGTCTGCTACCAAAGATTATTGCGTAGTGTACAGCAAGAGGGTCATACGGGATGATTACAATACCGTGCCGTACGGTACAAGCCTTCATAAAAAGAACGGCTCGACTGTCCCCGTCACATTTGATCCAAAAGCACCATGGCGAATGCACAGTTCTGTAAATGTTCTCCCCCGTTTATTCGATTTATATTGTTAATTATACTTCTCGTGTTACTGGTTATTTTATCGTCTATATTTGGCATTAAATTGTCCAGTATCTTGGAAAGCGAATGTTTTGAATGTACCCATATTTGACGCAGTAAAGAATGTCAGTGACGTTGTATAAGGGAATTCCGTGACGTCATTAGGTTGTCACGTTTTACGATATGACGTCATCGTGCTTTAGCGATAAATTGCGGCGCGCTTAACCGCGAAGTCATTTTCCCATGGGCACGAAACTACAACATCCCGCCACGTTTTGCGTAGCGGGACCGACGGGCAGCGGCAAGACTCAGTGGGTCAGTAAATTAATTAGAAATCATCATGTATTTGTGGAGCCTCTTGAGAGAATTTGTGGTGCTATGGTCAGTATCAGCCGGCTTACAAGGAACTGTCTCGCGATCTACCTGATGTTCAGTTTGTGGGGGGGGGGGTTTGCCGGAGGATTGGTCAGAGCACATCGACCCGACGCACCAAAATCTAGTGGTGTTGGACGATTTGATGCAGGAATGCGGTAAAGATCCTCACATTACTAAACTGTTTACCTAGGGATCCCACCACCCCAACCTGTCTGTGATTTACATCGTGCAGAACTTGTTCCACCAGTCGAAAGAGAGCAGGACCATCAGTCTGAACTGTCACTACATCGTCCTGTTCAAAAATCCCAGAGACCGATCTCAGATTGTTCATTTGGCCAAGCAGATGTACCCGGGGCAGACAAAGTTTATGGTCGAAGCCTACGCCGATGCCACCAGCCAGCCCTATTCCTACCTGTTCATCGACCTGAAACCCCACTGCCCGGAAGAATACAGACTGCGGGCCAACATCTTCCCGGAAGAAACGGCATTCGCCTACGTGCCTAAGTAGGCCAGTTTTACGTCAACCGTCTCACTCATCAACATGACGCGACGGCTGAAGGACAACGCTTACGTGCTGCGCATTCTGAGCGGAGATTCGCCCAAGAAACGAAAGGACATTCTGAAGCATGCCGACAAAGAACTCGTCACCTGTTTGGGCGAATATGCGCTGAACGTTTTAAAAGGCAGCGTGCCCCTCACGTAGAGTCAGAAGAAAAAACTGTCGCGACACAAGACACATCTGCGAGCTCTGGCTGACAAGAAGTCTTCTCACGCCAAACGTAAACAGCTGCTGGTTCAAAAAGGAGGATTTCTGGGACCCTTTACTGGCACCCATCCTCGGTACGCTCGGCGGGTTGCTGTTTTCCAAGTGATGAAACACGCCCGAAAAATCACGATCAGCGCCCCCACGGACAGCGTGACCAGAGCCATACAGAATGTGCTACTCTCGCGTAACCCCACGCAGAGTAAACTACAGAGCCTGGAGCAGGACATGAAAGACATTTTGGCCCGAACGGACCTTCCCGACGACGCTAACCTGTCGCTGTACCAGCAAACGCTGCAACAGTATCTTCAATACGATCACGCTTGCAAGTCCGCACCCATGTGTGTCACGATGTCTACACCGGGGAGGGATCCGGCAGAGGGTCGGAAGACCACGCCATCGGGCGGCACGACTGACGGAGACCACGCCACGCTGATCGAGAAGGAGGACGACCTAACACCGCGAATTCCTCGAGTGTGCCTAAAACCTTACAGCGCAAAGCCAAACTGCTTATGAACAGTTTAAAGCACAGTGATGTCATGACTTGGAACAAAAAGGGTGAACTGGTTTATGAAGGAAATGCTGTCAAGGGTTCCAATATTATCAATCTGGTGAATGACGCTTTAAAGAATAAAAAGGGTTTCTCTCCTTACCGATTTCAGTATTTTATGCACGGATTAGCCAAATCTAACGCGCCCGAGAGTATTATTGGGAACGAAGCACGGCACAACGTCATTAGAAAGTACGAACAAATGGGACCGGAGGAAAAAGGATTACTTCCCGATATTCCCACATCCCCTCCACCCTTTCCCTCTCAAAGGCGCCTTCGGGTTGGTTGTGTCCACTCCGTTAAAAGCCAGGAAAAGACTTCAGTGGGACACGTTGTAAGCGCTGTAGCGTATTTCATGTAGCACACGTTTTTCCAAGGACGGGGGGTCTTTAGTTTTAAGTCGGTGAATGATTGTACGCTTTAAAAAACTGACTTTGTCATTGAACTGTGGTTTATTTACAATGAATGAATAAATGATGCAGAAGACAACAGAAAAAAAGTATGTTTTGTTTGACTTTTTTTACCAGTTTTGTAAGTACTAACATTGACTCGCTAAAACTAACTACGTGACGTTATTAAGACATTAAGTATTAACTAAAACTAAACTACGTGAGACGTTTAAAAGTTTTCAATTTTTCAATTACAATTTTCTTTACACAGCGTTTGTATCTTAACTCAACTACTCGAGATTATTATTAAGACCAGATTTCATTTTTCATTTTTCATTAAGACTGGGTTTCATTTTTCTTCACGCAAATTTGACGACAAATAAACTTTAAGTCTAACACGGTACATCGACATTGTATTTTTCTTCGATAAAATCCTGTACCATCACGTCATTCAAGAGGCAGTCATCCGCAAAGACGGACACAATAGCTCTCATACATATATCCCTACAGCGGTACAACAGGTAAAATAGGCAGTGCTGACCGCAAACCGTCGTTGTGGAAGATTGTAAACAGACTGTATTATACGCGTACTGCGTACTATTCTCGCGTAAAAAAGATTGAACATGTTGCCCGTAAGTGTCCGGTGACAGTCCGTAAGAGTCGAAAAATTCTGCCTTTCCGTCCTGAGTAAAGTACATCGCCAGCCAGTGGGTGCCCGGTCGATTGCTCTCGTCGGCGTTTTGACCAGGTTGAAATGAGACCCGCTCGACAAGTCCGGAGACAGATCGAAGGCAAAGAGGGAGTATTCCGACTAATAGTCTTCTTTGTTCATCTGATTGCCCTTGTCTCGAAACAGGGTATTTATACCGGAATACAAAGTCTGATAGGACATCATGTACGCTTCGTCTTTGCCGGAAACTTTGGTTGAAGAGGTCGCCATGGGGTCTGTTCGTTATCCACGTACAGCCCCAGGTAATTTAGACCGTAATGTTTAAAGTTTTTGGGGTTTTTATGATAGCCGCCGTTGAAGGCCGCGTTATCCACCATGCCAATCACCACGCGCCGGGGGATCTGCCCCAGGAACAGATTTTCGCGGGTAAAAGATTGATTTCCTTGCGGGACAGAAAACGTCTTTCCCTCCACTCTACGCAGCGGGTATTTGGCCGTAGTACTCTGTAGGGTTTTGGCATGCACTACAGCCACGGTGGGACTGACGACCACGTTTCTCGCGTACAGAGAAGCTTCCATAATCTTTACTTTGTAGTGAGTGTCTGGTAAAGCCGCCATTAAACAGAAACAGGTTGACGCCGTTCAGTAAAAACCTACCTTGAAAAAATATGTCTTCGTGAATCAGTCCCAACATATCGATAATACAGCTCTCCTTCGACACTTTGTATCTCCGCCTTAATCCCTCGTTGAAATTTTCTTCCGCGGTTGGATCGTCCAAGTCCATTTTTCCCGCCGTATCTTTGTAAAACAGGGCGGCTGTAAACTGCGATGCCTTGGCCGGTGGTCCGTAAGTGAGCAGGGTTTCCAGCATGGCTCAGTATGAGTACGTGTTGGAGGAAGACGAGACGAGTTTGTCGTTGAGCGTGACATCCACTTCGGAGAACAGGCAGTGAAGCAGTAGATTGACGGGAGCGACAGGAACACCCTCGCCCAGGTCGGCGCCATTTTCATTGACCACTTTAACTTTGACGTTGATCAGGGTGTGCGCCAAATCCAAATGTCGGTGGTCCTCTTCGGTCGCTTGCTCCGAGCCTTTCTGCCCGACGCACCGGGTGCTTTCCTTTTTAAACCTTTCTCTTGGGAGGCGGATTGCTCGGGGTGTCGCTGCATGACTTTTGACTTCATCTTCTTTCCAGCCTGTTTCACCCGTTTCTTCGCGGCCGTCTTGACATTCTGTCCGTCGAGAGTATCGGCGACGATTCCTACCCCGGTCTTCAAGGCCTCCTTGCCTATCATCGGTAAAGCGGATCTAAACAGTCCTCCCAAAATATTGCCCAGTCCGTATCCCTTCTGAACGGGGGCACCTCTGAAATAATAATCCCCGCCCCCCGCCTGATTTTTGTAATATTTCACGTAGTCCACCATGACGGCTCAAAACAAAGAGGGACGACTTTTGCGAAAATGAAGCGTAATGGTGAGTTTCCCGTGTTGGAATGGCACTTTCTCTCCCGTGTCGGTCCTTATATCC